CCTGGTTTATTTCCCATATGGCAAGTACTTCAGCAAAAGAAGTATTTTGTTATCTTCATGTTGATGGACATTTTGTAAAAGATTTACAAGGGAAGATGACCTATGAAGATGGGAGATTAATTTCTAAATTGATTAGAGAAGGCATAAATCATGAAGAGCTATTGAGGATGGTGTCATCGGTGACAGGAGTTGAAATTGGTGCAGCTGACTTGAAATTTACAGTGAAGTTTAGTGAAAACACATACATAGATTTGTTAGATGATGAGGGAGTACAACATTTGATAAAGTATAATGATGAGTCAGCACATGTGTATGTTGAGACAAATGATAATGAAATAAATGGAGTAATAGATAACTCGATGGAGTAAATTGTTATTCTTATTTATTTGTGTGTTTAATTAGTTTAGTGACCATTTATATTGACCTGTAAGTAATTGTAAATGTAGGATGGAGAATTTGTTAACATGGTCACTGCCAGGATCTCCCTGTAGGTAAGAGCTTGAAAGTGTATCACCCTCTTTGCCATGTTCAACACAAAATGCTCTTGTACTACTGCCTGAGGTTAATTCGGTAAAATGGAAGGATTTATTTATGGGTGTTGGCCAGACATTCGATGATGCAATTGTATTTAGAAAAGCACTATATAAATACAGCCTTGCTCATAGGTTTGGTTACATATTTGTGAGAAATAGCCCTAAGAAGATGATTATCAAATGCAATATTGATGGTTGTAAATGGAAGATATCAGCTTATGCTCTTGGGAAGACAACCTCTATATTGTGTGTGAAAAAATTCCACAATGAACACATGTACTCTACTCAAGACAACCTCCTATTAAAGCAAAAGGCTAACTCAAGATTGACATCATCAATCATCATTGATGCTGTGAGGGGGAATATGGAGAAAACTTCAAATGAGATTAGACAAGACCTCTACAAAGAGTATGGGTTAAATCTCACATATCAGCAAGCTTTGAGGGGAAAAGATAGAGCATTGGAGGAAATACATGGGCTTCCACAACAGTCATACATGTTGATTCTATGGCTTTATGAGAAATTAAAGGAGACGGACCCATGCACAGTTGCAAAGTGGGTTGCCTCGACAAATTATAGATTTGATAGATTTTTTATTGCATATGGATGTTGCATCAAAGGGTTTCTCCAAGGTGCTCGTCCAATTTTGTTTATCGATGGAAGTTATTTAAGCGATCCATATAAGGGGACTTTGCTAGCAGCTTCTGCAATTGATGCAAATAATGACTTATTTCCTTTGGCTTATACAATAGTGGGTAGAGAAACATATGATAATTGGGCTTAGTTTCTTGAAAATATGAGAGAGATCACACACCAAGTTCAATTGACCATAGTGTCAAACAGGCATAATGCTATTGTTGGTGTAGTGCATGCAATATTTGAGGGTTCTTGACTGTCATTCTCCATATTTTTAAAACACCTCTTTGCCATATTTCATCTATTTCTCTTCCTTCTTTCTTTATCTACCTCTGGTGCGAACAGAGAGCAAGCGAGAGAACACGAGCGACGCTGTGGCTAGAAGAGCTCGTTTAGAAGGTGAAGCTCCATAATAGGATATTTCAGATGAGATTTTAAATATTCTAAGACTAGGTAAGTGTTCTAAATATTTTCTTAGTCATTTTTTTCCTAAGACTGTAGATTCTGAGATTTTGAAAAATCTAGGGTTTGAAAGAGGGATGAATTTTTTGATGAGAAAATCTGGTTGTTAAGGTTGTTAGTAGTGTAATAAATATTCTAGAGTATTATTTTGTTGATAGAATTGAAATTTGAGGCATTTGAGTTTATCCATAGATCCCTATGGGTAGATTTTTGGTTAAATTCAAAAATATAAATTGATTTGTTGATATTTAGATGATTATTTGAGATGAGAAATAAATTATTATGGCTATAGAATAATGATTCTAGGCTTGAAATCAAGTTTTCAAATTTTGGGTATTTTTATGTGCAAATTTTAGAATAAAAAGGGAAATTTTAATATTATAAAATTATTTGAATGAAATTATTGTGAAGGTGACTATTGAGCCAAGTAGATAGGTTCAAATACATAAAATTAAATTTTAAAACTTAAGAGGCTAAGACTAAGGTCTTAAAAAATGAAATAAAATAAAATAAATACTTAGGTATTAGAGTATAAGTGAAAATTGTGTTAATAATATTATTGACACATTGGGATATGATCAATTATAGATTAATTTTTTTTTAACACCATTCAAGCTTTGCAAAGCTTTAGAAGTGTTATAACTTAAGGGGTAACCTTTGACCTCTCAAAGGTTGAGGTAACCAGAGAAAATCAATTTTATGCATTTGTATGTTACTTAATTAATTATGTTGGTGAAATAAAAGAATATATATATATATATATGTCTGACTTTTGAAATGGTTGTTTGTAATGCATGTGGCTTTATTGAGAATCTATGACTTGTGACCAAGTTAATTATGACTTGGTGTGAGTAATGAGATTGATGGTTGATGATTATGTGTACACTCTTGGTTATAAGTTGTGGATTATGCACAGTGATGAATTGTATGAGCATGTTGAGTTTTATATGATGCTAATGTAGTTTTATGTGATAATATAAAAATTGATGCAAGAGGCATGATTGAAAAATGATGATTCTTGATGTTTGTTGAGCAAGAAAGTTGATGAGCATGTGGGATAATTGTGAATTATATATGAGCTTTTGAAATGCATTTTCTCATGAGCATATCATGTGGCGGGAGTTCGCCTTAGTAAAGGAGTTAGCGGTTATGTAAAATCCATATAGTACTTGGCTATTAACCAATAATCCTAGGGGTTATAGTCACTACTTATCTTGTAAGGTATTGTAGCATTGTTCCTATTAAGGGACTTGACCCGACTGGCCTACTTGGAGTTTTGGGTAGAGCTAGTTTTGGGTATGACACCCCATAATGTGTGATTTGGGGGAAACCATGTTCATAAGTGAGTAAAGTAACCCTGGCCCGATAGCCCCTCATGATATGATTAAGGCCTTGGGTAGTCTCACCACATGGACGATCCTTTTCAGTTGTTGGCCCACAAATTTCATGTTAGAGGAAATAAGGGAGGATATAAGGAAGAGATTGATCATGCATATTATTATTATCATGCCATTTGAGTGATTGATGGTTATGTTGAGAATATGATTATAATTGTAGAAATGAGAACATGTAGTAATTATGCGAATAATGTATATGTGGCTATTTGTGCAAATTTTGTACTTGACTTTATTCTTGAAATTATTCACATGAGTTAAATGTTAATGTGATTAACATGTTATTAATGTGATTGTTTGAATGGTCACCTTGATAAAATTATTGGCCACTTGCATTTATGATTAATTATCATGCATTATCATGCATTTGTATAACTTAGATGTACCTTGGTTACTGAGTGGTTGTACTCACCCCTCTCTTTTAACATATTACAGGAGCTAGCTCATCTCAGAAGAATAGAGGAAAGGAGCATTAGGCCAAGTGATAGTAATCATTTATGTACGCCTTTCTCTTTTTATTTTAATATGTGTATTTGTTTATGATATTGCCAACTAGGATAATATATTCTTGATCCACTTGCATTATGGGTTTTGTATTGGGGGAAATGTATTTTGGGCCCTGGGGAATGTGGATTGATGCTTGTGCTATATTAACAGGCCAAAATATTTGTGCAAATAGAAATAGTTAATATTGCCTAATTTGAGAACTTAAATGTTATTATGGTCTCCCCTTGTGTTTTTTTTGTTCAAGGGTGAGCAGTTGATATTAATGATATGTGAATGAAAAGAAAAATTCATGTATATACTAGGCTATTGATTAATAGATGATATATAGAGTATGATGATTAGGTAATAGTCATTGTGATAAATGTAATTGAGACCTTGGCTCCTCGCTGCCAGTTATGGAAGGGTTTGAGTGGCCAAGTGTTATGTCATAAATATGTATATATGTATTGTGGAGTAAGGCATAGAGAGAAAATAAAGGGGGAAGCTCTTCTCCCATGTTGATGTGTTTCCTTTATCATGCTTCAACATATGTTTAATTAAATGATACAAGTTCTTGAAATATTTTAAAGATTTGGGATCCCTTTATATTGAATCGTTTGTGAAAATACATGTTAAGAATTTGTTTAGGTTAATCTCTTATAGGATAATCCTTTTGGATTAGTCCTTGATTTACTATAGTTAGTCTGACAATTAAGTCCTAATTTAGGACACCCTTTACAAATTGGTATCAGGTTCTCGAGTTCCAAGAATTGGACTGTGGTTGGTGTGTGACTTGTTATATGATTGTGTACTTATGTTATACTTGCATTTGCATATAGAATTGGCAATTATCATTATACACATATTCTTTTCCTCTGTGAGCTAGCACTAACTATTCTTTTCATTTGTGGTATTACTTCCATCCTCAGGAGGGAGAATATGGTGCTAACTAGGAACATAGCTGCTAATAATTCAGCAATTCTGCCAAGACTAGAGGATCAAGTGGTGGTGGAAGATGAAACAGTATTGGCTCAAGTCTAACAAGGATAGGTAGTGCCAAAGTTACTAAACCTGACTGAGGAAGTTCAAGTCTTGACTCAAGCAAGACCTTCTACACAAGCTCCAGTTCAAGCTATTCCTGCAACTGGTAATAACAATGATGTAGCCCCTCCTTACTTCAATATTGATAGACATCCAGAAGAGGATGGATGTTTATGACTAAGTTATATTAGGGAAGGCTGCCGAGGGAAATAGCAAAGTCATTGTGAAAGCTGCTGGTAACCTCAAGGAGAAGTAAGGGGAAGTGAATTTAGAAGTCAATAATCAACAAGAGGAAGAGTCCTTTAGGGATTGTGAACAGAGTGATGAAAGCAACTCTGTGAGGTAAAGGAAAAGGAAAAATAAAGGCAAAGAGAAAGTGGAAGAGGTTACCATTGACCATGCATTCAAGAGGTTTGCAAGATTGAACTTGCCATCATTTGAGGGTTTTATGGTAGACCGAGCTGGCGAGAAATGGATTGATGAATTAGAGTCCATTTTCTCTATGATGACCTATACTACTAAACAACGCGTCCGATTGGCTACTTTCAAGCTTAAAGATGCAGCAAAACAATGGTGGGAAAGTGTTAAGCCTATTGATGGATCTGAATTGACTTGGGAGCAATTTAAGAAGAGGTTCTTTGCCTACTACTTCTCGCCAACTGTAAGGGAAGCAAAAGAAGTTGAGTTCCACAACTTGAGATAAGGCAATATGGATGTTAAGTAGTTCATAGCTAAATTCAATGAGCTCTCTAAATATTCCTTGTACTTGAAGAGTAATGCTGATGAAGAATGGAAGTGTGAGCAATTCCTTGATAAGATAAGGCTTGAGTATAGCAGGCAACTAGCGGCTCATGATATTGATTCATTTAAAGTCATGTGTAACAAGTTCAGGGCTGTTGCTAGAAGAAGCCAGATGAATGATGGTAATCGACGAGATGGCCAAGGCCGATATTCCTCTTTTATGGGCCCTACTTGGGGTATGAGCAAGAAGTCAACTTATAGCTCGGGATTCTCTAAGGGTTACAGTGGAGGTGGAGAAAGCAGTAAGAAGAATTTCTCTAAGGGATTACAATATAAAGGATCCCAATCCAAGAGCTTCCATTCTAAGAGCTTCAGAGGTCGGAGCCAAGCTTCAAGGCAAGACTCAACTCCATCTATCATGGGACCACTAGTGGTGCGATCGCATTGTGATAAGTGTGGAAGATTTCACGTCGGAGACTGTTGGGCATGCTACAAGTGTAACAAGATGGGTCATATCGCCCGTAATTGCCTAAAGGCTGTGACTGATGGGAGATCTGTTGTTCCTGCTCATGTCTTCGCGATGTCTAAAGAGGAAGCAGAAGCTTCTCTAAAATTGATCAAAGGTATGATTGTCCTTAATGATAAATAAGTAGAAGCATTATTTGATTCAGGTGCTACGTATTCTTTCATTGTATTAGATTGTATGACTAGACTTAAAATGTTTGCATGTGAAATGGATGTTGTTATTAATGTTTCTACACCGATTGGAGCCTCTGCCAGGATCAGTCGTGTGTGCTTTAATGTTAATTTGAAGTGTAGTGATAGGGTTACAATCATTGACTTAATTTGTTTGCCTTTGTCGAGCATTGATGTGATTGTGGGAATGGACTGGCTGTCAGCTAATGGAGCGACTTTATACTATAACAAGAAGACAGTCCTATTACCAGTGGATACTACTACTTTTGCAGTCCTTGAAAAGACTGTGTATACCATTATGGTGGACACAGAAATGCCTAAGTTCTTGTTTGCTACGGAAGTCAAGAAGTCAGATCAAGAAGGATGCCAAATGTTCATGGTGTTTTGTTTAATGCAAGGAGACAAAGAACAAAAGATTGATTAGATAAAAGTAGTGAAAGAACTTCTAGAGGTTTTTATAGAAGATGTGAATGGTTTGCCACCAGAGAGAGAAGTCGAATTCTCAATTGATTTAACTCCAGGTATCAAGCCAATCTCAAAGGCTCTGTATTAAATGGCCCCTGTAAAATTATAAGAGTTAAAGAAGCAACTAGAAGACTTGTTAGCTAAGGGCTTTATAAGACCGAGTGTATCACCATAGAGATCATCAGTTCTCTTTGTGAAAAAGAAAGATGAGAGAATGCGGTTATGTATCGACTACCGCCAGCTTAACAAGGTGACAATAAAAAACAAATATTTGTTGCCACGAATTGATGATTTGTTAGATCAGTTGGCTGGAGCGGTGGTATTCTCAAAAATTGACTTGAGGTCTGGGTATCATCAGTTGAGGGTAAAGGTAGAGGATGTACCTAAGATGGCTTTCAGAACAAGATATGGGCACTATGAATTCCTAGTTATACCATTTGGGCTAACAAATGCACTGGCGATATTCATGGACTATATGAATAGAATCTTCAGACCCTACCTAGATAAGTTTGTTGTTGTCTTTATTGATGATATTCTTATCTACTCTAAGAGTGAAACAGAGCATGAAGAGTATTTGAGATTAGTGCTACAGATTCTGAAAGGGAGACAACTTTATGCCAAGTTGAGTAAATGTGAGTTTTGGCTGAGTGAAGTTTCTAGGGCATGTTGTTTCTGAGGAAGGTATTACAGTTGATCCTCACAGGGTTGATATGGTGTTGAAATGGGAATGACCGACCTCAGTATAAAAAATCAGAAGTTTCTTGGGGTTGGCCGGCTATTACAGGAGGTTTATTGAAGGTTTTTCTCAAATAGCATCGGCGTTGACTAAATTGACCAGGAAAGACAAACCTTTTTTGTGGACCAAAGAGTGTGAAGAGGCTTTTATCACCTTGAGAAAGAAGTTGATGACTGCACCCGTCTTAACTATCCCTGATCCTAAGCAATCATTTGATGTTTATACAAATGCATTGCTAAGGGTCTTGGATGTGTTCTTATGTAAGATGGCAAAGTTGTAGCCTACGCATCAAGACAATTGAGGCCTCACGAAATGAACTACCCCACTCATGATCTAGAGCTAGCAGCTGTTGTCTTCACTTTTAAGATCTGGAGACATTACCTCTATGGTGCATGATTTGAAGTGTTTAGTAATCATCAAAGTTTTAAATATTTGGTAGACCAGAAGGAGCTAAATATAAGGCAAAGAAGATGGATGGAATTCCTAAAAGACTATGAGTTTGAACTGAAGTACCATCCGGGGAAGGCCAATATAGTGGCCAATGCCTTGAGTAGGAAGACCGTGCATGTAACTTGTATGATGATTCATGAACAGAAGTTATTGGATGATTTCTCTAGTTTTCCACAAAATATCCTAGATTATGCTATGTTCAATTTGAATACAATGGTGCTTACAATTGAATTTTGGGATAAGTTGCGATCAGCTCAGTTTGAAGATCCATACTTGTTAGAAGTTCGAAAGAACTTAGACGAGAAGATGACTGGCACAGATTTCACTTTTGATGATAATGGTCTTATAGTCTACAACAGGAGGGTTTGTGTTCCTGATGTGAAAGAGTTAAAGGACACAATTCTTGCCGAAGCTCATAAAAGCAAATTCACCATCCACCCTGAAGCAACCAAGATGTATCAAGACATGAAGCAGTACTGGTGGTGGCATAGTCTGAAACATGATGTGACAGATTATGTGAGCAAGTGTCTAACTTGTCAGAGGGTGAAAATAGAGCATCAGAGGCTTGGCGGTTTATTACAACCATTAGAAATTCCAACCTGGAAGTGGGAAAGCATTTTTATGGACTTTATTATGGGTTTGCCTAGAACACAAGCAGGGTAAGATGCAATATGGGTCATTGTTGATAGATTCATGAAGTCAGCCCATTTTCTACCTATCAGAGAAGGTTATACCATGGATAAGTTCGCGGAACTGTATATCCAAGAGATTATGCGATTACATGGAGTGCCTAAGGATGTGGTTTCAGATTGTGATCCAAGGTTCACCTCAAACTTTTGGAAGGCGATGAATGATGCTATGGGTACTCAATTGAAGTTCAATACGGCATATCATCCACAGACCGATAGTCAAACTGAAAGGACGAATCAAACACTTGAAGATATGTTGCATGCATGTGCACTTGAGTGGACAGGAAGTTAGGACAAGCATCTACCATTAATGGAATTTGCCTATAATAACAGTTATCATTCAAGCATTCAGATGGCTCCATATGAGGCGTTATATGGTAGAAAGTATAGATCTCCACTTTGTTGGACCGAGTTGAGTAAAAGAAGCATTATAGGTCCAGACATTGTTGACCAAACCACTCAAAAGATTGAGACAATCTAACAAAAATTTTTGACTGCTCAGAGTCGACAAAAGAGCTATGCAGATAGGCGACAAAGACCTTTGACTTTTGAGGTAGGCGACCATGTGTTTTTGAAGTATCACCGACGACAGGCATTGGGAGGTCAATAAAAGTTAGGAAATTGACTCCTAGATTCATAGGTCCTTTTCAAATCCTATAAAAATTTAGGACTTTGGCCTATCAAATTGCCTTGCTACCTCATTTTTCAGGAGTTCATGATGTATTTCATGTCTCTCAATTAAAGAAATATCAACCCGATCTGTCTCATATGATAGAACCTGAAGAGGTTGAGCTAAGGGAGAACATGACCTATGGAGTAGAACCAGAAAGAATTGTGGATGTAAGGGGGAAGCTCTTCTCCCATGTTGATGTATTTTCTTTATCATGCTTCTGCATATGTTTAATTGAATGATACGAGTTCTTGAAATATTTTAAAGATTTGGAATCCCTTTATATTGAATCGTTTGTGAAAATACATGTTAAGAATTTGTTTAGGTTAATCTCTTATAGGATAATCCTTTTGGGTTAGTCCTTGATTTACTATAGTTAGTCTGATGATTAAGTCCTAATTTAGGACACCCTTTACATCTGGTCAGAACCATTCAATATACTGATACATATTGGATGGTTCTACTAAATAACCATCCAATATAATAATATATTAGACGGTTATAGTAAATAACCATCTAATATTAGACGTTTAAACCTAGGCACAATAGAAAAGTACCATACCACCTTCTCCGGACTCTTTCTAGTATCCTTATAACGTGATGCATTACATTTAGGACACTCAGTTAATGAATCATATTCATTCCAAAATAAAGCGCAATCATTTGGGCATGCATGTATCTTCTTATAACTCATGCCCACAAATCGCAACACTTGTTTTGCATTGTATGTTCAGGTTGAAAGCTTGTTACCCTTCGGTAACATTTCATGAATAAGTGAAAGAAATTCTGTGAAGATCGTATCAGTCAACTTACCACTTGCTTTCAAGTTGAACAATCTCAGCACAGTGGTCAATTTTGAGAATTCTGTGCAATTGGTGTATAAAGGTGTCCCTGCATCATTTCCCAACCTCTCAAGTATTTTTGGATAATCCTGGAGTTCCTCTTCAACAACATTAATCATCTTTTCAACACAATCATCCTCATCTATACTTGTTTCAAAATCATATGATATGTACGTATTGCTATGCTCACGGCTTCTATCAGTTATATCCCTCGACTCACCATGCTTATGCTAACATGTATAAGTATGACTAATTCCAAACCACACTAAATGATCTTCCAACTCGTTCGCACTAACCCACTTCAAGAGGCTACATTTTATACAAGGGCACACAATGCTATTATGGTCTGCCTCATGCTCTAGTGCGAATCTAATGAACTCCTTCAACCAATAGACATATTCTTTTATGACTCTATTCGTAGACATCCATTTCTTGTCTATAATCTCTCTCAATTTAACAATAATTGTTGAGAGAAATGATATTAATGACTCAATCATATTGGAAGAGTTAGTTTAATGAATATATTAATTACTAAATCAATCAATCATGAGCCATATGCTTTCACACACACATACACACATGTAATCCCTCTCTAAGATAGTTAAATTTAAGATAATACTGACAATTATATTAAATTAATTGTAAGTATTTTATCTTATGTGAAAACTTGCCAACAAGTGAATTCTTTTATTTATCAATTAAAAATAATTTATAACATTTATTTTTATAATTTCTTTAGGCATTGTATTTGATTATATATATATATAATCCAAACAACATTAGGGCCCATGTGTTTAACATTAAAAAAATTAGAAATTAGAAAAGTGATTTATTTTATAAAAAGTGATTTATTTTGTAAACATTTTAAAAAATTAGAAATTATTTTATGTTGGTTACAATCATAAAAAATCATTTTTTACTTATAATAATAAGTAAAATATATATATATATATATTAATATTAATATTAATATATAGGCCCAATTATTATAAAAATTATATATCATTAATTTATAAAAACTGATTTCATTGAAAATTTCTTCCCCTATTTAAAACAAATAATTTTTTTTCTTGTATAAAAAAATTTCCTTTTAATTTAAAAAAATTAAATAAAAGGGCCCTTAAAATGCCAAACTATTAACTTCAAACAAAAATTTGGTAGCATAATGGTATAAAATAAATTTTTTTTAAGTATTTTGCCTTTGTTCCAATCACATTATCATCGTCATCAAAAACAACAATATTACATGTTATTTAAAACTACAAATTACATATAAGTAACAATTTCAAGTAAGATAAAAGTAGTCATATACAATTTCAATCATCATGAAACTTCAGATACTACTCAATCATCAATCAAAGAATCAAATAATAAAATTTTTGCACTCAAACTAGTTGAATATTGTTTAAACAAAAAATACATAAAAAATAGGCAATAAATTTGGATAAAAATAAAAACTAAATATAACTCTCTTCTAATCATATATTATTAGTCTAACATGTATTTTCAAGTGACCCATAACTTAAACTTTATGTGGGTTCTTGCCAAAGGCTTTTTTTTCTATGAAGCATT